AAACCAGATTCTATGACTAAGCAGATGGGAGAAGGCTGCTGGGCAGAGAGCTGGCACTCCGTCCCCCAGGTGTTTATTGCTGCAGTGCCCTGAACGGATGACTGCGTGGCATGCATAGAGGTGAAGGTTTGGGCGTGATATTGGCTGGAATTTAAACCTCACTCTGGCCTTCTTGTTAAACCTGGTGGATTGAACCACGTAACTATATCCTCTCCTAATAAAATCCACTAAAATGACACTAAATGAATGTGAAAGGGGAAAATTTTTAAAAAGCAGAAACCTGTAAGAAAAAAAAACAGGTCACACACAAGCCAGATTGCCCGGGGTAGCAAACAGAGATACAGGAGGCCCCAGGAAATATAAATTTCAGATAAGCCACAGGTCATATTTTTAGTGTAAGTATCTCAGGTAGTATTTGAGGCATACTTATACTGAAAAAAATAATTTGTTGTTTATCTGAAATTGAACTTTAACTAAACTGTATATTATCTAGCAACTACCCCGGCCATACACACACAAACACACACACACACACACACACACACACACACACACATGCATACACTAATCCCCATTGTTTTGTAATGTCTTCCCATTAAATGCAAACAGACAACCAAGAATCACAGGGCATTTCTCTCTGATATGAAAAACAGAGGTCAAAACAAGCAGATACAGAATTCAGAAGGAAAGGGGGGTACTACTCTTAAAATCCTCAGAGAGCTAAGATATTGCATCCATGAAACAAAAAGAAGATGCTCAGAAATGATCATGGGAACCACCAGAGAAGAAGAAAGAATTCCTGGAAATGTAAAATATGATTCCCAAAGTTAAAAACAAGCAGACAATGAAAGCATTGGGAAACAGAGTCAAAGGACAGAGCAGCTGAAGGCAGAGCACGCTGCTGCCATGTTCCATGACATACCTCTCCTTACTACCATATATACTCGTATAAGCTGGCTCTGCTGACATTCAGGTCTGCTTATACTCAAGTATATATGGTATTTCATTGGTTAACTAGGTGATTCCATTACTTTGATAAATACAAATTTTAATGATTTTAAAATATCTACCTAAGGGCTTCAAAATGTTTGTGTCAAATGGAATTAAAACATAATGGAATTTTTTCACAATGTCTTTGGCACCCCTGGTATCTAAAAGGGACCCTGGTGGCACAGTAGGCTGCACATGAGCTGCTAACCACAAGGTCAGCAGTTCGAACCCCCCAGTTGCTCCAGGGGAGAGAGATGAGACTGTCTACTCCTGTAAAGGTTCAAAGTCTCAGAAACCCAAAGGGATAGAAACCTAAAGTCTTGAGAATCCAAATCATAAAAATGACTACGTTTAAGCCTCCATCCTACAGGTCAGTATGTGTCAGAATCGACTTGCTGGCAGTTACTTAGAGGGTATCTAAAAAAATTAAAATTTTAGCAACTCTTCCACTAACTAGCTCTGTGTTATCAGACAAATTATTTACCTGTTGAAGCCTCTTTTCCTCATGTGTCAAATGGTGAAAATAATTGATATATTGTAACATATTGTGAAAATTAGCAATGCTTTATACAGCATTTAATAGAGCACCTGAAGTAAAGAACACATACATACATGGAAGCTCTTATCATGAACAGATTTCTTTAAATATTTTCAAAGTTTTATAAATACATTAGATATTCAGATGTGCATCTTATCACCCAAAGTAGATTACAAAATCACTTCTTTGTTGCATCGTTTTATAATTGGGAATATCTACACACTCTATTGCTTTATGCTTCATTTCTACTGCATGTTTGAGGACCCTTCTATTTCACCTAACTTTCCTGGTTTTCCAGCCTTTTCTGGCCTAATATTCCTTGATTTGGGATTTGTGCAATGATGATATCCTTTTAGTGGTTTTACTTCCTGTCCCATATATTTGCAGGATTTTGTTTCACGCACATCTTTTCTCAAAGTGGAAGTGTCCCCCAAGCCAACTCTCCAAGTAACTTCTCAGAAGGGCGAGAAAAAAAGCCCCAACAACTCAACACTTGCAGTCCATTTATCAAGCCCTGTGAGGGACGTGACAAATCCCCTGAGTGACCACTGGCACACAGTCAAAGAAGCTCGTTGTAACTCGTTTCCTCATTACTCTGCTCTTATCTTAATGCTACAGCCCCTGCTAATGTCTGCTGACCGCATCAAGAAGCTGGCTTGGTTTCGGGGGCTCTGAATAGTTGCTCACGCTCTAATCGAGACCTTCAGGAGGCTAATTTTGAATACTGGCCTGTCCACAGCTAGAATTAAGTGTTGCCGACTTTTTTGGCCAAAACAATGCCTAGGGTTAATGAAGGGGGAAACCAACTACCACCCATTGCCACAGAGATGATTTTATCCCAGAAATACCCAAGTGTGGACCTAACTGGAAGGGATTTCAGAAATTGTGCAATTCATTTTGCCTCCATCATTATGTAGAGCACAGGCTGAGAACCAAACAGTAAGGTAGCAGGGAAACCAGAATGTGCACCTCTTCGTTCAGGGTTCTCACCACCATCACCATCCTCCCTCCCCAATGGGAGACTCGGGAAATTGTTCCCACTTCGGATTTGGGATGTGATTCATGGCAAGATTTCCATTCCCGCCCTTTGACGTGGAGGTCAATTCTGATGACGACCTTTCTAGGTCGAGTCTTCATTGGTTTCCTGTGAGCTGGGTCCCTCTTGTCTTTTCCCAATGTAGAACCAAAGACCAGGATTGCATGCAGGTACTTTAGATTTGGAAGAGGCACTAGGAATCAGCAATGGGGCACTAGAGAAGAAGTGAAAGCTTCCCAGTCAGGGTCCATTCCCTAGTTGGTCACCACCATGGGCAATCAGGCTTGATGCTACAAAGCCTTCTGAGAAGTCATGCATTTACCATTGTCCCCCAGGTCCTCATTCTCCATTGGCCAACAAGATGTTGGCCACCTCCTACTTCTTGCCCATCATTGTGCATGACCCATCCACCTCCAGAAGGCATCAAAGAAGCAAGTGTTAGGGCGGAGAGTAAGTGATGCTCTGGACAGCCAAGGCAAGAGCTGGGGCTGTGGTTGTAGCATCAGCAGTGGCTGGTCACGGACAGGCCAAGAAGAGGGTGGGAGGCAGCACTGAGTTTCTAGAAGTCTGGTGCCTTGGTGGCAAAGTGGTTATGCATTGGATGACTAACTGCAAGGTCAGCAGTTTGACATCACCAGCCGTAGCAAGATGAGATGAGGAAGAAAGATGAGGCTTTCTACTCATGTCAAGAGTTAAAGTCTCAGCACCTCCATTTGTTGTACGTTGGAATCGACTCGATGGCAGTGCATTTGGTTTGGACTTCATGAAGCTTCCACTCTAGTGATGATTGCTGGGAGACACTATCATGCCTGACACAATGGTAGGCAATCCAGTTTCAAGACTCACTCTCAAATTAACTGCCATTGAGTCAATTCCGACTCATAATGACCTTATAGGGCAGGGTAGAACTGCCCCTGTCAGTTTTCCAGACTGTATAACTCTTTATGGGAGTAGAAAGCTTCATCTTTCTCCCTTGGAGCAGCTAGTGGTTTTGAACTGCTGACCTTACAATTAGCAACCTAACGTGCAAACCACTATTCCAGCTCCAGGAAGGTCTTGTATTATTGTTGGTTCTGCCGTTCTGACTACTCAATTCAAAAGGTGTGCCACAGTGGAGAACCAGGAAGGAGGGTCACTGCTTTCTTCTCCTAGACGGGGGAGCAAACAGACATGCTAGAAGCTTCCATGCCTCCTCTACAGGGGGTGATGACTAATTCCTAGGGTCAGGATTTTGTGCCATGCTCCTAAAAGGGAAAATGTTAGCTTTGAGGAAATGTGGGAAACTGTATTAAAATATATACAAAAACGTATCACTTTAATCTCACATTAGGTGTCCTCAGGAATCAGTGCTACAAATGGCATATGAAATAAGAATTGTCGAGATAAAACTAAAGAAAGAAAAGAAGGCACCCTTGGTGTGACAATCTAGGCATCGCCACCTACTTGTAAGGATTAATTATTCAGTCTCATCTTCCAAGTCACTGAAAACATTTTCTAGTGGCAGTTGAGTAATTTTTAAAAATTGAGTTCTGTGCCTGTCCCTGAGTCCTTGCCGTGCAGAAGGATTTGATCATTAAATAGTAATTCCACCATCCCCAGCAGGAATTAGAAGTACCTTAGCAGTGACCAGCCATGAGACTTCCAGAGAGATGCTCCATCTCTCTGCCCAGTGGGTCGGCAAACTGCGGCTCGAGAGCCGGGTGTGGCCCTTCCAGTGTGTATATGTGGCTCGGAAGTAAAATTGAAAATGTTAAAGGATGTTATTCAGCTAATGGTGCTTTCACTTGTTTATAAAACTATATTTATGGCTCTCGAATAATTTTTAAATTGCTGTGAGGGACAGGATGGGCTCATCTGTCTTAGAAGTTCACTGACCCCTTACCCAGAACAACCTCCTAGCATCTTTGGGGAAGTCAGTGGAGGTTACCGATTTGAAAGAGCTGTTAACTTCAATATCAGGAATATTCCATTGAAAAGCTTAATAAAATATGCACCAACCGAAGAACACTTGTTCAGAAGCTTCAGAGCTTCGTCTTATTGAAACTTTGGGGCTGAGGATATGACCTGGACAGAGAGAAAGCGAGAAGTCCAAGATTGCCAATGGTAACATCTTCAAGGGACACACAGGCCCTGTACCATTTGCCTGCATGTAAGCCAGGGCATGTGGCCTATGCAACTTCTATAGTTCACACTAAAAACAACTAACGTTTCCTGAGTGCTTAGTAGGAACAGATTCTCCCCCATTTAATACTGAAAGGTGTTAGAATACTGTTAGGATAGGTACCATTACTAACCTCAGAATGCAGGCAAGGAAACTGAGGTTTGAAAAGATCCAGAAAATTGTTCACAATGCTAAATGGTAAAGCTGGGATTTGAACCATGGAGAAGGACTCAAAAATGCTTTCAAATACTCTGACACTCTCTCTGCATTTATAGAACTGCCCGCTTTAAAATGGAAGCACATCCTGAAACCTTTCAGGCATCGGGGGCGGCAGTACCTGGAGCATACTCAGGTGTGAGACTCTGCCCACGCTCAGTAGGGGGCAGGCCAAATCCATGGAGCTAACTCCAGACCCCGCCAGGAGGATGGCACGTGGGGGGTTCGGGTTGCTTCGAGTCTGCGTGGTAGGCTGAGATACAAATAGAGGCTAGCGTGCAGTTGAGGAGCCTTGGTGGAAAAGTGGCTGTGTTGGGCTGCTCACTTGCAGAGTCAGTAGTTCAAATCCACCACCCACTCCATGGGAGAAAGTTGAGGCTTTCTGCTCCTGTAAAGAGTTACAGCCTCGGAAATCCTCCGGGACCGTGCTCCGCAGCCCTGTGGGGTCACTGTGAGTTGGAATTGACTCATGGGAGGGAGTCAATTTGAGTTTGTGTGTTGTTACGGAGTCCTGGGGGCCCTGTGAGGTAGGCATTGGGGCCGCTAACCTCAAGCCCGGCAGCTCAAACCCACCGGCCACTCAGAGGGAGAGACAGGACTTACGGTCTCAGAAAACGTTAGGAGCAATTCTGCTCTGTGCTGAAGGGTGGTGATGAATTGGAATTGACTAGATGGCAGTGGTGTGGTGGGGTTTGCAGTTGAGCAAAACTGGAGGCACCAGTGGCTTGGTAACCCTTTACCTTGAATACAGTCAAGGAGTTGCTATTGGGCAGCACGGAGGAATGCACACACAAATAGGTTCGCAACCACACCCAGCAACGTGTGGTTACATAACACGATACAAGTTACGTATACGTTAACTTGTGTGGTTGAGCCCTTAGCTGCTAACCAAAAGAGTTGTAGTTGCAACCCACCCAGATTTAACTGAATCAGTGGTTTCTTGGGGGCATGGCAGGAGAGGTTGGAGGGAAATGGGAAGCTAATAACAATGAGTACAAGAAAGAAGACAATGGGCTACGATCGATTGTGGTGATGATTGCACAACCCTTGCCTGAACTATTGAATTTATGATATGTGAATTATATGCCAATGAAACTTCATTTCAAATAGATTACGGCTTAGAAAACCTTCCAGGGCACTTCTGCTCTGTCACAAGAAGTCCCTATGCGTCAGGTTCGACCCAGCAGCACCCAAGAACAGCAGGCAAGTCCTGTTCTGTTGCACACATTGCCACACCTCCCTCCACCGCCACTGGAGCGGAAGTTCCAGGAAGGCAGTCACCTTGCCCTTTAGTTCTTGCTTCACCGCCACACACCCCACACCACCACACCACCCCCACCCCCACCACCCCCAAAAGCATAATGGCTTCTCAAAAATCATAACTTTTTCATTCTATCTTCTTGGATCAGCCTACATGGTGGAGACCATTATCCCCCTCAAACAGATGAGTGTTTCTGGACATAGAGAGGGTAAGTGATTTCCCCAGGATTATCAGGCTAGTCTGTACTGGTCTCTCCATGCCACGGTGCTCAGACCACTATTTAAATAGAGAATTACCTAGTAATTCAGATTGTATAAGTTCAGGTGAATGTTCAATGCTGTTGAGATTGATTTTCTAAATCAGTCCTATTAATCATCATATGGAAATGGTTCCATTTTCCTCTGGGCTCTACAAAGTTTCATCAGCAAGTGAGGGAAATGTTCAGCCTAATGATTTCTTTGGAACCCTGGTGGCATAGTGGATTAGGCATTTGGCTGCTAACTTCAAGGTCAGCAGTTCTAAACCACCAGCCACCCCATAGGAGAAAAATGAGACTTTCTACTCCCGTAAAGAGTTAGTCTCAGAAACCCACCGTGGAAGTTCTATTCTATCCTACAGTCAGTATGAGTCAGAAACAACTCAATGGCCATGAGATTGTTCTGAGTAATGGCTTCTTCGTTTTTGTCTGTCTTTCCAAAGGCATTCATCCAGTAAAGGGCATTTCTCAAAAGCACCCAATGAGGACAAAATATACTAAGTTATTTTATATCATTAGGAGTCATAGCTTACATACTTGAAAAAAATAGATGAATGTCTAGAACAATTTATTTCAAATGCAGTAGTAATGCAATGAATGTTTCAGAATTCACCAAAGGTTTATTAAGGTCCCACTGTGTGCCATGTTTTCAGTTACCACAGTCACCAGAAGTGGCCACCATGCTGGAAAAGAAGATGATAAACTAAAGAGTAGTAAAGCATTCATGACTGCTGGGGCTTACTCCCCCCCATCCTGAAAATCTAATAGAACCCGATGAATGAACTCCCTGACGGTATGCTGATGTCAGGACAATAGGCCCCTGGAGGAAGCATTTTTCAGTTTCCTGACACACTTCCAAACATATTGACATATACTCATCCTTAATCATATGGTTTGCGAACAGATAAAAAAAGTGAAACATTCATCCCCTAATACTCATTACTACCTTCTTCGTTTCAGCACAGGGCTAGCTCTTCAGGATGCCAGCGTTCCTCACGCTCAGGAGACAGTGCCAGGAGGAACAGGGTCCTCACAGGGGTGCAGCGCCCAGTAGGGAAGAGAGAAAGACAAGCGCCCTGCGGTCTGATGGTTGTTACAGCCAGAAGTGCAGGGAACAACTGGGCACGCTCAGTCTACCAACAGTATCAACAACTTCTGTGGCCAGGATGTTGGCTTAACTGGCTGACGGCTTGTTGGGCCATTAGGCTGTCTAATCTCCTACCATTTGGAACACGCAGGATGACTTTTGACTTCTCATTTCCCCCATTTGGCTGGAATTTTCCTCCTGCTGTCAGCAAACGCCCAGCATTTAAAAAAAAAATTCATTTCAGGCATTCTGAACTGGCTTTTGCATGTTCAGTGTTAGTCTAAAGCAGGGAGAAAATACACTTTCAAAATTAAATATATAACTTTTCTCCTTTAGTCACTATTACTAGATGACTATGTGCAGGTTGATTGTCCATTCCTCCCTAGATCTAGTCTGCCAGAGGCCTGCACGGATACTAAAGAATACTAAAACCAATCGACACTCACTGCCGTCAGTGACTCATAGCGACCCTACATGACAACATAGAACTGCTCCCCAGTGTTGATTCTGATGCCTAGTGACCACGGCGACCCTAGGGAAGAGTACAGAACCGCTCCCTAGGTTCCCAAGGCTGTCCATCTTTAGGGGAGCAGACAGCCTCATCTTTTACCCTTGAGACAGCTGGTGGGCTTGAACCACCAACCTGGCAGTTAACAGCCTAGCACTTAAACCACTGTGCCACCAGAGTTCCTTTCATTTAGGATACATTCTTCCCCAAATTTGCATTTGACAGGTAGGTGTGTGGTTTGCCTGCTGAGGGGACTGCAAGAACACTGAAAGAACAAATCGCTTCTGCCCCGGCAGCCCCCTTCCCACCTCGTACACATACCCATGTCTGCTTCTCTGTGCAAGAACATCACAAGGACGACTCGTCACCTGGCAGTAGCACTTTCCCAGCATTCATGGAGTTTTAGTGCATACAGAACAGTTAGATAAATAGATATTGATAAACAATGCGTGTGCATACCTGCAAGTTTAGCTGTATAAATTTACCCAAAAGATCCTGATTAAAATATATACAGGAAGATGATTTCTCCCGGTGCAAAAGAAAAAAAGGTGCCCTGCATATAAATTGAAAACTCCAAAGATCTTCAGTGTAGTAGTGGGTGACTGGAAACTGATCTTTAGAATTATTTTGGGAAGAACTTTTAGCAGTTCTGTTCAAATGATGCCTTTTTAAAGACTGCGATTTTTCTGAGTGGAACATATGCCAGAAGAACAGGATAAAAGCCTAATAAAAACATATCTGATTATAAATGAGATTTTTCCAGTAAGTTGCTTTTCACACGCTGAGTACTTGCCTTTGTCCTTGAAAAGCCAAAGAAGGTTCCAGCGATCTGCTTGGAAAGTTAATGATACAGTTCCTCCTGACAGAGCAGTCTGGATCCAGGAGGTATTGTGTAATTTGGTGAGCTTTCAAATGCTTGTTTTAGCAGTCGCTCATTTTTAATATGCTCCTAATTCCAATGTTTTGCAGGTGCTAATGCTCTGCACTGTCCACTCTATATACACATACACATTGTAGTAGTTATAGAATCTGTTGTCAATTTGAAAGGATTAAGAGTGAAGAGGTGGAGTTTCGCCTGTCACTCAGGCAGCAGCTTGATGACCTCATTTGGAGGTGCTAAGGAGATAAATAGCTCACTGGAGGCGGGACACAGGCTCACTCCCTTGGAGACTCTCTACTGACAAGGCTCCCTCCCTGTGAGACATTTCTGAGGGGAAGCCACAGGGACCTACCCTGATGCAGTCAGAGTTTTGGAGTTGAAGGAACCACGTGGAGACCCCTGCCACCGCTGAGATGCTTACAAAGCCACTGGGTCCACAGACTTCCAACCCACTGGCCTGTGCTCTTCCTGTATTTGGCGTCATTGCCCGTGCTTTGTGAGTCGGAAGAGAACTTTATAGATTGGTATCGGACATGTGGGCTAATATCGGACTTATGGACTTGATCTGGACTGGGCTGGGATGTTTCCCAACATTCAATTGCTCTTGCACATAAACCTCTTTCTAATACACATGAGTGTCTATGAATGTGTTTCGCTAGTCCACCCGGACTAACATACACATGTAGCTTCAAAAGGGAGAGATGCTCAGCTAAGCTGTCTCTCAAAACACAGTGACTTTGACATCACTGCTTGGTCATGATTATCCCTAAGGAAGTCAAGCCCATTCCTGTCAAGTTGATTTCAACTCACAGTGACCCTATAGGACAGGGTGGAACTGGCCCATACATTCCAAGGCTGTCACGGAAGCCAGTTGCAACATCTGCCCTTCATACAGATAGTCGGTTTGGACCGCCATCCTTTCCGTTGTCAGCTGAGTGCTTAATCACAGTGCTACTAGGGCTCTGTCATCACTAAAGAGAAGGGGGAATTCATCACCTAGAGCCATGAGCCACCAACCCCAGCTGGACTGCTAGAAGAGCTTCTTTGGCACATCCTCTTGTTCTCTGGTGTCTACCTGGTACTTAATACCTCCTGAGTAAAGTGGCCGGCAACACTATTATATCTCATGGGGGCTGTCATACATGA